ACGGAGACATGCCGAGTGTCTGCGACTGTGGTGGGATGGTGGAGGATTTGATCAAGATGAGTGCTGTCCGGTTACTTGACTTTTACAAAATAATGTATCAAAGCTCCCAATTTTTTAACTAAATGCTTAAGTACTTTTTAAGAAGAAAAAAACACAAAACAACAGCACCAAAACACCAACTTTAGACAGTTTTCCTGCCTCAAATAGGGACAGCCTGCCTCCTGGGACTCAAAGCATAACCTTTTTGAAAAGGAAGCTAATGCAAAAAAATAGGAAAAATAAAATCTAGTTGACTAGTTGGAGGGGGGAGAGGGGGTGCAGTTTCAAGATCTACCTTTCTGCAGCTCTCATTTCCCTGCCAAAGCAGCCTGCCTTGTTCTGCCAGCACAATGGCCCCCTCATAATCAGCTGCATATAATGGGCTAGTGCTTTTATTCTCAACCATAGTATTCTTTTGACAGAAAATAATGAATAATGTAAAGGCACACAGTTGTATTTGGATCAAACTATTGCATAGTTTGGCTGTGGCTACACTAGGAAAATCTCGGTTCTTAGGAGTGTTTGCTAATATATTTGCATTTAAAAAATGAATATTGAGGCCAAGAAGCACAAGGCTAACTGCCTATAACAAATACATTTTTGAAAAGGTAAAACCTTTTGTATGGTAGTGTAGGGTATGGAATGTGTTTGTTCAAAATGTTCCTGTACTTTGCAGGATAGCTTGGCTTTCCTGTCTGTGTGTAGCCGAAATGCTGGAGAGCTGCAAAGACTATGCCATAAGGACATCTGTAGGCTTTCACTTGTCCACATTTCTTTTTTTATATCAAAGTAAGAAAATCAAAGACGTGTTTACCAACATATTAGAATTTTGCTGGCCGGTGTCCTAGAAGTTCATTGAAGGCAGAGCGGTTTTTTGGCATCGAATTGTGTCTTTGGGATTCTCAAGATTCGTAGAGTTGGTCTGGGAAAAAGAGAGCGTCCAAAGTAGTCAAACTCTTTCTTGCTTTTATGCTCAAATTCTTTGAAAGAATCAGTTTGAAAATAATTTTAAAATATGTTGAGTAAGGAGCTTTTTTTGTCAAGCATACCATTTTGATATAAGCATATGGTTGCTAAGCTTGTGAGTTGGAATGGAAGCTGACTGCACGCACGGGAGTGCAGCTGCCGTGCCAGGGTGCTCCTGTCCTGGGACAGAGGTGCGTAAATACACACAGCCCGTGGAGACGGGTTCCTTTCTCCCCGCCTCACCCTGCAGGGTTTGAGTAGGTGATTCCCCTGCGTCTCATTTTGATGAGAATACTTTTTAGGAAGAGGACCCGTTTAAAGCCTTTGTCTAGATACTGTCCGGTGTGAAGCCTGGATGTTTTGGGTCAGGCCATGCCGTTTCCCCTGAGGCTGCCAGAACTGTTCCTTGGCTTTGCTGAAAGGGGTGGATTTGACAAGGGAAGCAGTCATGTTTACCTCTTTTTTGCTGTTCTCTTTGCAATCAGGCTTGCTCTGACCTTAGTTGATTGTAATAAATGCTTTTTTTCTATTTTGTTTTTTGGGGATTTTTTTTTTTTTTTGGTAGGTTGGTTATTGAACACACATTCCTTAGGGGAAATATTGCTTTATATAAATTCTTGTTTATTTTGAAGCTGGAAATGTGCCTATATCCAAAGAGGCAAATTTTTCAGGGTGATGCCTGTTTATTTATAACAGTAATGCAGGCAGGACTCGGGTGCGTTCAGGAGAATAACCAGCCATTGATTATTCTTTAGTAATTGGATCCATGCTTGGCAGATGAGGTTCGGAGTGAGCGCGGATGCTCTCTGTGGAGAATGCTGCAAGCTCTGTGTGTAAGCGGTCCGCCTCTGTGCAGGGACCTCGGGCACTTCGTCAGGAGAAGCTTGGTGCTGATAATACAAAGCTTTTTTGCTATCCTCAGTGGTATTTTTGTATTCCTTTCTTTATCAGATGCCCTTAGGAAGGGATCAGCCCTAATCAATATTGCTTCTCAATTGCTTCAGACAGGCAGAAAAATCAATAAGCTGAACTAATGACTTCTATTTTTATTTTCTTTTGGAAGACTGAGGAACAATTATAAAATTTTAAACAGATGCGTCATTTGATTTTGGGAATGACAGAAGAGGGTTATGGGTTTTGGGGGGTTTTCCCCGCCTTTAATTAAAAATTCTTGCCCAAACACAAAATAGATCAGGAAACTTTTTTAGAGTGTGTTGCATGGCTTGAGATTTACTGGGTATTACTTATACACCTATTTTATGTTGCAGCAGCCACGCTGCTTTCAAATTCAGAGTCCAGGGAGAATGTCAAGAGCTGGAATGCTTAGGACAAAAGCAAGGGTGGCAGATGTCATGACGTAAAGGCTGGAGGTTGAGTTTGGAAAAAAGCTTTTTGGAATGGCTTGGTAGGAGTGAATGTAGAAGTTTTTACTGGTGGTTTTTTTTTGTTGTTGGTTTATTTTTTTTTATCATCTTTCCACCCCAATGAATAGAGGAACAGAGGAACTACCCCCCCCCTTTTTTCTTTTTTTTTTTTTTTTTTTCTGATGGTATCTGTATGGATCCCGTTGCATTTCCAAAATCACTGCCGGTGATCAGAAGGAGATGCTGGTGGGGGGGAGCAGGGAGAGTTGTCTTTTAATATGAATGGGACACAGTTTCTAATAGTGTTTGACAGCTGCTCTGAGCAAGCAGGGGCTGGACTAGACGGCCTCCAGCGGTTCCCTGCCAGCATCAGCGGTTCTGGGATTCTGTGAGCAGGACCTTGCTTTGGCTGCGTGAAATCCCAGCTATCCCAGTGCTTCCTCCCCTTCCCCACGGGCTACCTACAGAAGTCTTAGTCAGTCCTGGGTATTCCTGGGCTGAGTGCAGAAGTGGCTTCATTTCTTCTTTTGGACAGCGTTGGTTTGGAGGAACTGCTTTTGAAAAAATGTTGCCCAGGTTTCCCGCACAGTGTTCGCCACTAAAACTCAGAGAAATGGTTAGAATAGCATCTTGGCTAAATTCAGACTTGTACTGGGTAGGCCAGATAGTGTGATAATCATCATGTTTTCTGCAAAACAGTAAACTGTTAATTGTTTGTCAGAGGTGAAATTAGCACATCTTGAAACATTCACAAGCAGATTTCCCCCCTCCCCATGTATTTTCTGTATGTTTTAAGGTCACCTCGCTCCTTACAAGGGTATCTCATCTCAATAGGAGCTTTATATTAACAGTTCTGGTTTAAAGCCTATTTTATTGTAAGAAAAATAATAATGAAGAAATTGAGTTGAGGGGAAACTTTTTATTTTTATGCCTTAACATTTTTAATCATTACTAACTTTGTTCTTCAAGTGGTCTGATAGGTTTGTAAGAAATAGTTTACCCTTGGGGGCCCTCCTCGAGGTTGTAAGGAGGTGACCCACATTCCACTCGTCTGAGTTACAGTCTAGGATCTTCATACTCAAATTAGTCACCAGACACGTGAAAGAAATAAATTTCATCAGTGATATGATGCAAGACCATTTATCTGGAAACATGCACGTGGGGTTATTGCTGATTTTATATCTAGTCTGTAATTCTATACGAACTCTGGGTCTTCTGCTCATCCCCGGGCACAAAGGGATTCGGTACCTTACTGCGAGCCGCGTGAGTTCGCCTCACCTTTCGCAAGTCATCACAAAGAAAGAACCATCTTGAATGATAGAATGTAATCCAAAAAAGCCATTTGTTGATGCATGAGGGGATTTTGGCCTCGGGTGGGTGAGGAGCCGCGAGCAGTGGTTGCGCTGGGCTGCGGTAGCCCTGCGAGGCGGCAGCGCTGGAGCTGGAGGAGAAAGTGGCACCTCGAGGTGGTTTGGGTATAAAGTTAACCGGTCAGCAGTTTGTCGTAGCACCATCTGACAATTGACACGTTAGCGCAGTTTGAACGGAGGCGAAACATAACTGCTGTCCTGCCGTCCGGCAGCCGCGCGCGAGCCCCTTTCCAGCAGGAAGGCTGCACTCCGTAACGGCCCCGTGGGAAGAAATCAGCTCCCTTGTTTCTGAGGCTGCTGGTTCCGTGGTTACCTGGAAGCGCTGTCTGATTTTGCAGATGTTGAAAGCCAAGTGTCTTTAGCTGTGTGTAGCAGAGGGTGAGCGCTGCTGGCTGCGGAGAGCCGTGCGCAGGAGCCAGGAGCGAAGCGGGGGGAAGGCGTTGTTAGTGCCGGCTAGCGTTATGTTTTCTGTACAAACACTTCTGTGGCTTTCGCTCCAAGTCTGGGGATTTTCAGGCTAAAACAAGGCTCAGCATAGTGTCAACCATGGAAAAACTATATTCTCGTAAATCAGCAATATTCATTTCAGTTTCGCAGAAGAAATCCAAATAAAGTGAGGCTAAACAATATGTAATGTGCTCGTTAAGTTTAGAATGGTTTTGTATTTACTGCATTGAAAGGGAACAAAAAGGGTACAGTTCAACCACATTGCTGGTGTGAAGTTTTTAAAATGTCATAATTTTTAATGTTCTGTGCATTAATCTGATGTCTTATCTCTCTTGTCTGCATTTTATCTTTTTGGACAATTATTCCATGTTTTTATGAATGTAGTATAAGTCTGGATTTCTAAGTATGTGCTAAAACCTAATGTCACACTATAAACTCTGAGCGGTTTTTATCAATTATGTTTATATTGTGTAATAGAAGAGGTGGTACATTGCAAACTAAACAAAGTATTATGATTTTTGTTTAGAATTTAAGTATGAATTGATTCTTTCTGATGTTTTGGACTCCAGTGGATACAGGTTATTGGAGGCTCGCAGCCGAACTTGCTCTGCCTTTCTGAATTAAGCTGTAGTATATTTTCCAAATACAAATTTTAAAAAGCCAACGATTTTTTGAACTGTAAGACCTTCACTGAAAGCCTAGTAAATTCCTGTAAATGCTAAGAGCAGTATGTGCAGTTAATGGTTTGTTAGCCTGGTATATTAACAGCTGAGTTGTTATAGAGATTAATTTTACTTCTCTCTGTATTTTGCAGTCTAGTCTGCTTCGCTCAGATATGGGGCTTGGAAGTCCAGGTCAGCTGTCATCCTCAGGAAAACCTGGAACACCCTACTACCCGTTTTCTGGCACAAATCAGCGCCGAAGACCACTTCATGACTCGCCAGCTCTTGGTGAGTAATATAGAGAGTTTAAAAACTTTTTTTCATGGTGCATTTCTGCAGACTTTATTGTTCTCTTTGACAATTCATTGTCTATAGTGGAGATTGCTCTGTACGGAGCAATTCAGATTACAGCAAACTGTTACGTAAGAGAGAAGCCAGAATTATTAACATTTTCTTTGGGACTCAAGTTCGAATTCAACAATGGTCAGTATTGCTTATAAAACAAACAAGAAACTCCAGTAACACCCTTAATTGCGAAAGCAATAATGACAGATGGATAGGAGCTGATGACCAGCTGAGTGCCCTTAACCCATGCCATCATTAACTCCTGGAAATGCCTGACCTTAAGGTCATTACCATTTTTTAGTAGGGGAAAAACACAAAGGGGAAACAATTATCCTTTTATATGCTAAAAGTAACTTTATTCAGGGCAATATATAGTTCATTGTAATTGGTTCAACATGCCTTTAATGTTCTTAGCAATTGGATACTAGTAGTTTATCCTAAAATCAACTGCCTTGCAACACATGCAGGCAGGAACTTGTTTAAAAATTGTTGTAATGCTACGACAGTGTTAATAGTTTATTCTGGAGATACTTAAATGGAATTTTCCTACTTGGTTGTAATCAGTGGTAATATTTCATAGTTCTGAAGACTTTCTATTGAATTAGGGAATCAAGAATGAGCCAGCTGTTCCATCGTTGCTGCTCTAACACTATCCTGAATCATTGGGTGTGTGAGTTTTTAAAAAAGTTGTTGGTACAAAAAGAGAGACAGTAAGCTGATAGTCTAGTTTAAAAGCTACCATATTTCAATGTTAGTGTGTTACCTCGTTAGGATTACTCCAGTTATATCTTTATTTTTTTTTAATGCCCCTCATTCTGTGTAGCGCTTCTATTCTGTAATAAAATCTTGTTTGTTGGAACCATATACCTTAAACCGTACTTTAGCCAAAATAAGATTTTTATGAAATGCAAATTGTTTCTTAACTAGTGTTAACTAGAACTGCAAACTCCTTGGGCATTAGAATAGTCCTCAACATGCTTGAAATTGTTTTTTAAATCTTTAATTATAAAAATATTAATTTTAAACTTTACCTCTATATATGTGTGTGTGTATATATATGTATGTACATATTTTCAAATCTGTTTGAGAAGAACAGAAGAGGAAATTCAGTGACTTTACTTGCCACTTGGAGCGGTGTTTGAACTTTAATAGAAAAGAGTTGGGGTTTAAAATTATTGTTTTTACGTTTTAGCCCCTATTTAATCAATTTTAGTGAGAAACTAAACTATAGTGGTAACCTGGTGTGGTTTTGAATAATGGGGTTTGTTAGAGCATGATTTTGGGTGCTGGACAGAGAGTGATACTGCCGTGGGCAGAAAGGTGGTGGTGTGAAGCAGCCACTGGGGGAGAGTGCTGAGCAAGACGGTCTGATTTCTGGTCTACGCTTGATTGTGTGTCTAAGTTAGCTTCTTGTGGAAATGATCTAGAGCTTGGTAAGTTCCAGGTAATACTAAATTAAACAACATGAAGCGAAGTGTGGTGTTTTCAGAGTAGTCCTCCTATTTCTTTTTGTCTTTGAAAGAGAAGCTCAAGGATTACAAACCTGTTCAAGCTGGTAGCAGCGGGATACCCCTCTTTCTGCCATGGCTGAGTCTGGGGGGGGCTGTACCCCAGGACATGGCAGGTGGTGGTTACAAATTTGTGAAAAAAGGAAGTACACCTTTATCTCGTCTTGTTTCCAATGGCTTGAGAAAGTATGTCTGAAGTATTATTTTTTTTTAATGAACTAGTTAAAGGTTACAAAACTGCTGCCTAAGAATTTAAAGCAAAGTCGAATTATGTCTCTTGTCCCTGAGGACGAGTTGCCTGACCAGGATTTTAACAGACTCTCTTTAAATTTGCCACTAAAGTTTGTTGAAACCAACCAGTGTTCCCTTCCAGGTGACACTTTGAGTGCAGGGTAAATATCTCTTCCAGAAGTCCTTTTCTTTTCGAACATGTCCTGTGGGGAATGATCAGAGTAAAGATACCCGGTAGATATTCTCCGCTTATCTCACCTTTATCTTGTCATATCGTGTAATCAAATGGTGATTAAATGTTCTCAATAAAAAATAGAAAAATAGGAATTCTGTATTTTAACTGAAGACTCAGTTGGTCAACTGTAGAACTGGTATCTTGCCAGATACTTGTCTTCAGAACATCAGTTAGCTTCTAAGTTGCACGCCTACTGTTCAGATTAATTTTATTAGCAGATGACTCAACTGGTTCAGATTCTTGATTTAGGTAGTGGAATTGCTGGGTGCTTGGGTGATATTACAATTATTGGTAGGAGGAGGCAGGTGTTATACTTCCAACTTTACTATCACATGCAAATTTGAGTTGTATTGCCTTTATTACTTAGGAAAAGTAATCAAGTAATTAGATTTGCTATTTGTTTACATCCTTGGTATAGTCTAAAAGCTATAGAAATTTACATCATTATAGTATTTTTAGAGTATAAATCATACTTCAACATGTCTGGGATTCTATGTCTTAGATGCCTTTTTGATAGTTCTGTGTTTACTCTGCAGTGCAGAAAGGGAAAGCATTCTCGCTAATCAGTCCCATTTTCCTCCTTGTATATCTCAAAATCGTACTTAGGGCACCAGTGTACCCCTCTGTGTTAGCGTTCTTAGGAATAACTGCTTTCCTTATGGGAAGAATTGAAAGTAACTATTTAGCAAAGCTTTATTTTAGGGAAGAACATTAGTATGTTAAATATTTAAGCACATTCTTGTATTGATGTGAAAGACAAATTTCATTTGCACAGAATAAAAAATGCATGAAGTTGGAAAACAGGAAATCCATTGTGGAAAGAAAAAACTGGGTAGCGTAGCTATTTATTCTTTTTCATCTGTAACGTTGACGCTTGATTAAATGTTGCTTTTTCTATGTACAGATCCTCTACAGACAAAGAAAGTAAGAAAGGTGCCCCCTGGTTTGCCTTCTTCTGTAAGTACTACAGTTTTTTACATTTTTTTTTTACCTACAGTAAACAAATCAGACTCGAATCAGGCTCTTTTTACCTGACATACATGCAAATTGTGTAACTTCAGCACTAGGAAGGCTATCCGCTGGACCTGAACAGCCAGGCTAGGTAATTGGGAGTGGTTCTGGAGGACTAAAGACACATTGGATGTGGAATTTTTAGATTTCATAGCAGTGATTTGTAGCTTACTCATATGCTCCTACCCACTTGTCCCTGTCATTTGAATTCCTCTCTTGGGAAGAGAGCTGGGCCAGGAGCTGTCAAAGAAGATCTCCTGTACAGGTCTTTTGATGTTTAATTAGTCATTATGTTGCTGAACAGGAGGACAGACAGAGATTAATAGCTGGGAATCTTAGAAATTTACATTTGTAATAATCCCAGTGGAGCTGAAGACATTAAGATTCGGAGGACATGTACAGCTCAGCTTGCCTCAGTAGGACTGGGGTTATTAATATGCATAAATCACCGAGTCAGATGTTCATTGTGAAGCCCTGGTGGATTTTAAAGCCTTCATTAAGCCTTTCCTAACTTCAGCCTAGCATCAGGAAAGCTTTCAAGCAACTAGTTTGTTGATCCCTCTTTGCTTGAAAATTTATCCTTCGAGAATAAAGGGCTTCGATGAAAAAGGTTGGAAGGGTTTTGGTGGAAAAATCATTAATGGCTGTGATAATCTAATGCTAGAGGGGTGTTTTGTGGTATTAAATACGCTTTATTCTTAAAAGGAAGAAAATTGTTTATAAATGAATCTGCATTAAAAAAAATCCATGTGAAGTGAGAAATCCCCAGTGAAGTGAAGGACAGAATGATTTTTTTTTTTTTTTCCCCCTGCTCGGAACAAACAGGAGGGGAGGGGGAAGCGCTGCTGTCTTGTGGGGTACATCTCTTTGTTGTGTAAATGGCTGTTGGGCTTTTATTCGGCAGTACTTAACACATGGGCGCAGGTGCACTGGGCTGAGTCATAACTCACAGCCGGAGAGGCTGAATGGAACACGCTGCACAGGCAGCGGTCGCGGAGTGGGAGCAGCGTGCGGCTGATCTTCTTGTTTTGTATTCGCTCTGAACTGTGGATGGTGTCTTCTAGTCCTTGCATCTCCCCCGCTCTCTCCTCCCTCTCTGTCCCTTCTCCCTCCCCCTGCTCAGGGTGATACAGACAGAAACCGGGATCTGAAATCCTGTTTTCACCGTACTTCCAGATGGAGCTGAGATAGCGTGGCTAGCCGGGGGCAGCTGTGCTCCGAACCTGCAGCCTACCTGGGAGCCAGGACTGCAGCTGCAGGCACTCTTCAAAGCTTTTGCTTGCATAAGCACTTGGGCCCCACTAGAGGCTGAATAGCTGCTTGATAAACAAAATGAACACAATGCCTCAAATCATTATTCCCGAGGCCAGGAATATTCTTCTTCCCTTTTTTTTTTTTTTTTTTTTTTTTTTCCTTCAGCAGCAGCTAAAAATAGTTTGGCAATTTACATTTTAACAGTTGCGTGTTATGTAGGGTGGCTTTACAGTCTAGCAGATGATTTCTGCTAGATTAACAAAAATATATTTAAAATGTCAGAGAAGCTAAAACACATAGCAGTGCAATTTTCATGTAATTTATGACTGTAATTCTAGGCGAGTAATAAAGCTTACATTATGTGTTTAATATTTAGCAGCATCAGCCAGGTAAAGAGATCATTTTAGCGAATGAAAAATTCCTCTCATTTCTCTTACCAGGCTTTAATTCTAAGAAGCAGTATTTTTCAGATGGTTTACATTTAATTATTCTTCTGTGAGAAGAGTGGAGACAACAAAATGCTGATAAATTTTATTTGTGTTAACGTTGTACCAATTTGCACAATAAAGGGCTGTTACTTTACATACTCAATGACTGCGATGCTGCAATCTTTAACTGCTGTTTCTCTCTATTTCAATGCTTTCAGTGCTCACTAGAGCCTTGAAGTAAAAAGACATTAAAAAAAAATAAAGGTGGTATGAGGTATTATGTGCTGTATTATAAGATGACACAAAACTAAATTTCACTGAGCGTCACAGGAAATGTAAATTGAGTAGGTAATTATGCAAGTGTTATCTTTATTTAAACTATACCTTGGTAAGAAGTAAGGAAGTATTGTGGGAAAGATAAAAATTGGTTTAGCTAAAAGGTAGTGCAGAGAAGTTGAATTATAATATGGAAAGTTGGAAGAAATATTATACTTGATGTTATTATACAAATCTGTATTTTTTTTAATTTTTCCATTTCTAAAAGATTGTTTTCTGCAATGTTTTTGTGTTGGTATAGGGCTACCACGTCAGTGGATACTCAACACTAATTTAATTTCCTAGAAAACTGCAGTTTAATAACAATCTTTTAAGAAATAATGATTTTTTTAAAAAAAATACATGTCTCTCTTTCTCTGGGATTTGTGTGGTATTTTCTGAAATTACTTGGTTTATCATTCTTCATGTGTTCTTATCAGGGCCTAAAGTACAAACAGTCATAGAGAAAAGTGCTAATGAATTGTTCAGTTACTTTCTGGAGTGCAACTCAACCTGAACTTGTCCTTTTACTGTCAAAATTAAATGCACCAGGCAAATGCATTTTTAAGTTTTCCTTTTGGAAGTTGCTAAGTGGTGAGTCATTGCCCAAAACATTTGGAATGTTGACGTGCAAGCATTTATGTGAAAACTACAACTACTAAATTTAAAGCCTTGTGAGGAGGATAGAAAGGGGAAAATCAGCGGTAGATTTTTTCTCACTGTTAGCTCCAGCCAGACCTGAGTGAACAGAACGCTTATGATGTGCTGTTTGTATTCTAGCGGGGGGAAAGTACTGTTCAGTGAGTGATGTTATGCTCAGATTCCAAATCAGAATTTTCCTTCGTTAAGGAGTTAACTAAGCCAAGGAACTGATAATAGCATGTGACTCGAAAGCAGTTGTAACTAATCGGTGGGGCTGAGTTAGGAAGAGCTTTTTTTGTTCAGCCCACAGAGGGAGAAGAGAGAGAGGGCTCGCTTGGAAATGTGCAGGGAGATCACTGTCTCGTTATGGACGGGATATGAGCAGAAACATACTAGTTACATGTGTAGTCTGAAAATATTTATGATGAGTACTATAACCAGTAGCTATCATGAAGTCATAATTCTCAGAAAAATGGTGTGAATATCTGGCATTATTCTTTTGCCATTTAGTCTTATATCAGAGAGATAACCTGAAATGCATCACGTCTGTTGATTTTTGTTAGAGAAAATCAGCTGTGACATACAGGCGCAGAGATCTCAGTTTTCTGTGTAGTGCCATTTCTAATAACTATTTTGAGTATTTTTTAGACTTTCTGCAGTACCTGAGACTATCCATTAACATTAAACTTTAGGTTGCCACTTATTTAATAAGAGATTGTCAAATTAATATTTTCTAATACTAGAGATCTGTTTCTAAATTCAAACTCATTAGGTTTTTCAATACATTGAAGACAATTTATAGCTTTATTATAGGGGTTCCTCATATATCAACCTTTATAGTATGTGTATAGTCCATGAGTGCTAATTTATTGCCAGAATTCTTTGTGAAGCAAAGCTAGAGCAAACTTGGTTTGCATACGTAGAACTACTCCCACACATTTAAGGTACTTTTCTTCTTGGTATCATGCTAGTCTTTTAAGACCAAGCTTGAGAAATATATTTCAAGGGGTGTTTCATAAAGATACCAGTGGTACCAGAAGGCAAATAATAGTTCTTACTCCCTTCTGTTCTCCCTCTTCCCTCCACCCTTCCCGAAGGGTGAAAGGAGATTCATTGAAATAATGGAGTGGAAAGGATCCAGTCCTGTTTATGTGAAACCTAGTTCTCGAGGCTTTAAGGTTTAGATTGTATTAAAAATAACATTCACCCCGCCGAGTGGACTTTCTTTAGAGAATTGGCCTCAGTATTACCAAGTTCGATGTGTATTAATAAAGTAGCCTGGTGTACCCTGGGAATACTTTCATGAAGTCTGTGGCCCTGAATAAAAACTTCAGCCAATAAATCCTCATGGGTAATGCAATGCAAAACTTGCAGTTCCTTCCTCGTGACTCAGTCTTCCATCTTCCCTTCTGCTTTATGCTTGTTCTTTGCTCACCTGACTCAAAGGACAGAGTTTTTAGGGACTTGCTCTCTACTCCTTTTTAAGCACCATGTTTACCTGTGAGCTTGAACAAAAGGCAAATATATAAAACCTCCAACCTCTAAATTATGTTACAAACCAAGTAGAAGTGCTCCTTTGAGATTTTATATTTACTAAGAAAAAGACCTGGTTTTGTTGTTAGATTATTGTCGTTTTTTTCAGCATGGCCTTTATTTGAAATCTGTCTGAGAACAGCAGTAACCTCGGATGAGAGCATCCCACCTGCTCTTTGCTATACGAGAACATTGAGCTGTCATTACACAGCTAAGCAGTCCATCGCAAAGTCCTGCTGTGAGGGTTCAGATCAGGTTCTCACTGAATTAGAGCGACGATAGTTAAGGAACTCTCTCTTCATAGCTTTTTTAAATGGTAATCGCATCATTTTTTCCAAACTCAGTATCCTGTCATGTGGCTGTGGTGAACTGTGGGGAGGTTGCTTCACTGAGACATCTTCTCTGTGAAAACCCTGCATATGCATGTATGAGGGAAGTACAATGATGTCACATTGTTTCCCTGAGTTGGGATTTACTGGAGATACTTGATTTTTGAAGTTTTCACAACATATCAAAATGAGAATATTAGATGCTCTTAAATTAGAGTGTAGATCTGCATAAAAGAACCTTAAATCTGTGCATAGTTCTACAACTGCTATCTGAAAAAAAATAATGTGACTGAATTGCAGCTCATCTAACGTAGGGAGAAGTTACAGGGAACTGCTGCAACTTCTCTTTGACCTCAAAGATTAATGTGTCCATTACCATCAATTAGTGTGGTGGTCTGTAGCAACAGATAAGGATAAAAGCTTTTTTGAAGACTATTTCTTAATA